TTTAAAAATGGTGAAACCAGGTTCTAAAATTTGCCCCTCTCCCCCACCACCAAAGGGCAAACGCATGTTCTGTTTACCACCAACCTAAACTACACCACTTACAGAAAACCACGTAACCTGGACAGATTCCAGGGTTTTTGAATGTCTGTACCTAGCTATTGCGGTTTTAGGAGCTAGATTATGACTGGGCCCATAAGCAGAACTAGGATTTTGAAAAAAGGGGTGTAGATGGTAAGGTACATCATCACATATAACAACATATTTTTCTCCACGTAAACAGAAACTAGAAGCTTTACTAATATGCCAAGGGTCTATATTATTCAGTTTAAGATCAAATGAAGAGCAAATATATATTTATTGAAATGTGCACTAATTTTCTAAATTGTAGTTAAAATTTAAAAACAGAAACTAGAAAAAAATAGTGCAAAAGTATTGTTTCATTAGTCCTATTAGTCATTAGATGTAAAAGTACATCTCTTATTCAGATTTGTAAAACAAAATTTAACCTTCTCAAATGTCTTGACATATTTTACTGTCAGTCAGTTTACACCTGATTTAACATTACCACACCTGAGCCAAGGTTTTTAGCTAGAGCTAAAAACAATCTGCAGGGCTGTGAAATAGAAGGGAATGGCTAACAAACACCAGAATTGCAGAAGAAGGGCTATTTTGAATAGTGAAACAAGATGACCATTAAAAATGAGAAAAGGACTGTTAACACCTGTAGAGTAAAGAGAGATTAGCAAGGATCAGGTAGATTATAAACAGCTACTCAGTAAAGTGATTCCCCACTGCTGCCAGAATAGAAATGTTGCTGCTGCTGCCACCAGACAGTGGTTTTAAAGTTTGGTTACAGCAGGGGCAGGCAAAATCCGGCCCACCAGGCCATTCTATCCAGCCCGCAGAGCCCCTAAAAAAAAATTTAGTAAATTAATATTTATTTGCCCCGGCTCCCCACCAAAGCTGGCTGGAGACAGGGGCAGTAGAAGCCAGACAGAGCCGTCAGCAGGCTTGAGCAGCCCAGCCCCACC